TACTGTCATTGGATTAATGAGTTCATTGATAGTTAGCTTGTAGGGTGCCCAGAGAGGAAAGCAATCAACCACATTTTGTCAGAACAAAGTCCTCTAATGTGCTTTAATAAGACAGAGTAAAAATTTAACCCGTCAGCCACCTTTTGCTACAGAATGTAATCTGAATACTAAACAGTGAGTCCAGCTATGAATGCCCAGGTCTCTCTGCTATACCTGAAACTTTCATAGAGGGGAAAAAAAAAAGAGAAAACTCAAAAGAAAATGAGTCTTTTTATGTGCAGCTTCTGAAAAGCAAGTTGTAAATTAAACAAAGCAGTAATATATAATGTTTCTCTTTTTTTATTATCCTGCATTCTGTGTTTTTTTGAAGCTCGGTGCTCAGGAGAAATAGAGGGGCTTTCTCTGAGGTCCTGCAGAAGCTTGAAGCGTGTTCTGGAGGGGAGGCTGGCTGCAGGGTGGTGACCTGGAAGACCAGATGAGTGGCATGTATTTCCCTGTGCTGATCCATCTTGCTGTGCAAAGTGTGTGTCCTGAAATCTGGACCACAGGCTTGATTTCAAGTAATTTTTGTAGCCTGAAGGAAATTGGTCTTTAAAAGCTCCAGGCAAAAACTTCACCTCTTTCTCTTGGCTGCTTGCCATTGTCTGTCTTCTGTAGGCCATGAAGATGCTAACTGAACACAGTGCCTCGTATTCTTTAGTCTTTATTTCCTCAAAAAAACTATTTGTTAGGAAAGAGGCTGTTCAGGGTTCAGCATCTCCTTTGATCTCTCTGTCATAAGGCCTTCCGGAATGCTTTTACAGAAGCGTGCGACTGAAGCTGAAGAAACAGTAAAGGTGGGGTAGGATCTTGCTTGCTGTGCAGTCTCCAAGTTTTCTGCTCCACTGGAGAGACAGCAAGGAGGCTGTGTCCCTTTTCTGAGGCTGAGCAGAAAGTCTTTCTGTTTGTCTTGGGCCTTTGTTAAATGCAGGAAACTTGAGTCCTGTACAATGTTAACTTCCCAGGAGTCCTTAAATACACAAACTGAGCAGTGAAAGGGAACTGTCTTTTCTTCTTTTAGTATTCCTGCCCGCCCTCCCCCCATGATGTACATATTCAGTAATGTACTCAGCTGGGAAAAGGGAATGGTCAGAACATCACCCTGGGACTTTATTTCTTTTGCCCTCCCATAGAGCATTCCAAATATCTGTCCAGTTGCCCCATTTTGTAAAAGGGAAATGAGGATATTTCTCCTGTTCTTGGAGATTTCTTTTTCTCTTAAGATTCAGTAGTTCCTTTAATGAGTCAAAGAGCTCCAAGTTAATGCAACAGAGTAGGGTTATTAATGGAAGTTTCATATGGGATAGCAGGGAGCCTAGATCTAAACCATCAAACCAGGTGAGGGTAGTGATGATTGCTAACTAGGTCCCATTGCCTGCTTTGAAAGTAAAGCAAGCCTTGCAACTCTATAGGAGTTTTATTGCTTTAAAGTACACCCTGGAAATGCAAATAGGCTCTAGTGATGTCAAGTTTATTGTTGTGATTGCATCTGTGTAGGAAGCCACTTGACTGTTTGCAAGTAATTAATTAATTCATAGTTGTATAATCCAGCCCATCACCCTGTGAACACTGTGTAGTCAATCCTTGCTGCTCTTAGTAAGCTTTCAGTCTTTTCCATGGCCTTACACAGGAATTGCTGCAGTGGATTTACTGGGCAGGGCCAGGCTGGGCTTTTGAGGTGTGTAGCAGAGACTCAGCATCTTGTTTGTACTGTACCTCTGCAACAGGAGGCCTGTACATATGCAGGGATTGCAAATGCTGTTTGGGAGAAGATTAAGAACGTGATTAGAAAGTTGTAGACTGGAGAAATGTGCCCGCTGTTCCGCTTCTAGTGGGAAGCAAACAGTAGCTGGGACTTGTCAATTCTATACCTTGGCTGGCCATAGCTATCAATCTGTTGCTGCTCTGCCTTGACTGCTCCCCCACTGAGGAGACAGTCTCCTTCTCCCAGCTGTCCTCTAGCATCTCTTAGCCTGAAAAGTATCAGAAATACTGCTCCAAAAGGCCAGTTATTTAACCTGTTATTTTTGTCACTAAAAATCAATACACATACACTATTTGTTCAAAGCTTTGTCTCTAGTGGCGTAATTCTCTGGGAAAGCTCACAGGGTGCACATGGTTAGTACAGCTGATTGAACTGAACATACATGGTATTGATGCATCCTGACACTGCGTCTGTCAGCTGTCATTAAGGCCTGGAAGTGGTGAATGTCTGAAGGTTCGATCAGTTAATGCCTCTGCGCTCACATGCATTTGTATTGATGGGTTTTTGTCCTCTTTTTCTCCATTACATTGATCCCCAGGCTAGGGTTTGTTGCTCAGAACATTTGCTAGCTGTTCCCTGTGAAGTCCAACTCACTGTCACTAGAATTTGAAGCCTAAGTGTCATCTAATTGCTAACTTTCATTGAGGTATGTCATCAAGCTTTTAATGATGGAACTTACACTTTGCTATAAATATTTTTTTTTCCTTGTCATTTAAATACTTGCTAACTTAAAGCTCGGAAAAATCTGTGATGGTTTCCCTCACCTCAAGTCACTGTTGATTTCACTGGAGAAAGACGATGCTGTGATGAGGTATATAAAGGCACCAAACCATTAGGTCCTAAGTGGGGCACATTTACAAACAACCGTTGCACCCTTGCAATTGACACTTGACTTCCATATGCCCCAGAGAACTCAGCTATAAAATTGAATTAATGCAGGAGTTGTTTGACTGTGAAGAGACTGCCTTGGAGCTGAACTGCTTTCAATTATAGTTCTACTTGTATAAGAGATACACCAATTGGAAATAAATGCTTGCAGTTGTAATAAACACAGCAGTCAAAATATCTCCAAAGGCTGGAAGGATTCTGAGCGAGCAGCTGAGACGATTGAGTAATTTAAATAAATGTAGAGTTGGTGAAAGCAAAGCTGGATCTGAAAGCAGCATTTTCTCTTGCTTTGATTTTATTGAAGGTGGGTAAAGCAGAAGTTAGAGGTCTAAATGAGCCAAATGTCAGACCCACTCACATCTGTGAAAATAAGCTTGAGACTGGGGACTTGCCAGTTTGTCCTTGTAAATTTGTTGAGTGCTTTCTTGATGTTTTATTTCAAATGCATTTCCTTTTCTCTCAAGAAAAATCTAACATAATGTGCGTGGTGTATAAAGTTGAGGGGGAAATTGGAACTGAATTTCTTTTTAATAGAGTCTATGAGAAAGTCTGCTGATGACCACTTTAATCAAAATATCCAGGAAATGCAGACATTTTCATGGATAATTGATGAGATATGGGGAAAAAACGGAGAAGAGTTGAATGGTTATGATCATCCAAAAGGGAAAAATCTTCAAAGTCTTATTTTTTGTTCCTTCTCAATATTGTCTAACAATTGTTTCAAAACCACCCTCAATGCATCTTATTTAGAAAAGGTATAATCAGTCCTCGTCGTTGCAATGACTTTTTCATTGATTTTTAGCAAGTTGAGATGAGATGTTTGAAACTACAGTGTGTTAATGCACTCCCGTGTTCACTGCTCACAGATGATCTGTTATAAACCAGAAGAAAACTGCAGTCTGTCTCCTCCATTTCTGTCTGTCTCCTCCATTTCTACCTGACATTCAGCAGTTTGCATATCTGTGTGGGCAGTACAGGGAAAGCTTACTCCATGGTCTGTTTTTTCACAGGAGCCCTGACCATTTTACCTCCATGGTCTGCTCCATTTTTTATTTTTATTTTTATTTTCTTTTTACAGTCCCATTACCTCTACGTCTGATTTTGTGTACCTTATCTTTTAAGGTTTTCTGAGGATGTGGGCCCATAGGAAGGTCCCAGTGCTTTTGGGCACAACAGGTTATAGAATGCATGGGTGATACAGAAAAAAGTAGAATAGTTTACTGATTGGCCAAGTTAGTATAGAATTGTAATCTTGCTTGCTGTTGAGATACTTAAGTTGGCAGCGTTGTTATACCACTTTGAAGTGGAAAATTGTTAGATGAGGTCTATGCAGAAAAGGGAGCAGGATTTGTTTCTGGATATTTTCATTTGTTTGTAAAGATTTTGTACTCTTTAAGTCCTGACACAGCATATTGGAATTACTAACTATGTAAACGTATCACCTAGATATCTTCCATAACAAAGGACAGTATTTATGAGCTGTCCTGCTAAACTGTCACATTTCCATTGTTGCTTGACATTTGTACTGGAACTCTTGTGGTCTGCTGCTTAATTCCTTTGTCTCTGACATGCATCTATTTAGGAGTCTTGGAAAATATAAAGTGGGGCCAGTTAACATTGAATGATCTTAAAACTAGGCTGAACTTTTGTTTTCATCAGGGAGGAAGATGATGCCATCAGCTAATTTGGTTGATCAATAGCCCTGCTTGCGATAAGGTTTCAAAGCTTGTGGCTAAAAGCTGATTGCACTGGATCCAAAATAAATTTGATCTATTGGTTTCCACAAATGTAGCATAGCCTAGGATGATGCTTCAGTGCTGATGCTTAACTAATTTTAATAATGCTGACAGATTAGCTTGGTGCCTGCTGTGAGGCCACTGTAATACATGAACTCTCGGCAGCAGAGCACTTACTTGAAGTGTTTTTTACAGTAGCATGGAGCTGTCACTTTCTAGCAAAGAACAATCATAAAGGTTCATTATTCTGAGACTGGAAGCATTACAGTCTTTGCTGAGCAAGTTTAATGACATTAATGCAAACTTTGGTCCTGGCTTCCTAAAAAGAGAGAGGTACTGGCAAGAAATTAGACTGGTTTGTTAGTTTTGGCTGGAGAAATAAGTGTTACTGAAAAATGAGGAAAAGTTCTGTGGCTGAAGTGCAAAAAAGTGTGCAAGCCATGTTTGTGATAAGCATTTGGGTATGCAGTTTCAAAAAGGATCCAGCAATGTTCTTTCTTCCTGCTGGGTGGGACTATATTCTGCTGGGAAGGTGGACTAAAATTTCACTGGTGCTTTCATCTCTATTTCAGTGACTATATCATGGCTACGGGGCCAGCAGAGGTCACACAGTCACATGAAACAGGAGAGACAGTTGAAGAGTGCACAGGTAAGCAGTTCTCCAAATGTATAGCTGATTTGGAAGTCAAAGTTTATTTTCTTCAGGTCAGGGGGTCTGTAGTGATTTGTTTTGCAGTATTGTCTTGGGTTTTGTAGTATAAACAAAATTTGGTGTGGTTTTGTCAGCTGGCAATATGGAAGGAAGGATCTTTTAATGTGCAGTACTGGAGGGTCAGAACCTGATGAAGGATATTCTTTTCCGATTCTGTCTTGGATTTTCAAAAACAGGACATTAGAGCTTGAAGGGCTGATTGTTGTGCCTGCTTTGATGGATCCTACAGAACTGGGAGCTGAGCCTGTTAGCCAGTCTCTCTCTGTGGGAGCTGCATCAGTACCCCCACTGCAGCCTCATTCTCTGCTTCTGGCCACAGACAACCATTTGTTACTTATTCTTTAATCTGGTGGCATTGACTGATGCAAACAGCCATGAGGGAATGGAATAATAGGCAAGAAAGGAAAATATCTTATTTATGCCAAAGAGTTGTCTTAATTAAAGTCAATCCCCTTTGCCAGTGTTCAGACTGTTCTTGAGGAGACAGTTGAATATGAAGAATAGCATCATGGCTGAGGCATTTCAGAAGTGGCTGTCATATCACTTGGTTGTTTTTTTTCTTTGGCTTAATGTCTTGCAATTGTCTTGAATGTGTTTCAAAGGTCATCTTGCTCTATCCTTTAAAAATACATTTGCCACCATCAGAATATTGGTAGAAGAGAGAAGCGAATGGCAAAGTGACTGTTAGTTGAACTCTGCATGGCAGATACATAGGGGTGAAGGAAGTGTAATGATGGATGCTCAGCAGCGGCTGTTTTCTTAAATTTATACTCTAGTTTATCACATAGTCCAGTGCCAACTAGGGCACACTGGTGAACTTGTGTGAAAGCCACGCATGCAAATTTTGTACTCAGGTTCACTAGAAGATTCAGAAAATTGATCAAATTCTGACCCGGGTGACAAGGAAGGCAGGAGGTGGCTTTTTGTCTTAAGTGTTGGCTCTAAAACCACGAGGAATATTTCTGTCTCTAATTAAACCAAAATTTAAAACAGTTAAAGGTTGCTGTGCTATTGCTGAAGTATTAAGCGACACTTGACTGGACCTGGATAAAGCCATTTTAGGATCTTTTGTTTACTTCCCATGTACCATGGGATTACCTTGCCTCTTCCTCTTCATAGCTTTCATGGTTTGTGATGTAAAGGCTCTCAGAGGCTAAAATTCCCAGCCTTCACAGTCTAGTCAATGAGATTAATTTCTTGAGGCTTACCTTGTTGTCTGACTAGTAGTGGAGGGCTTCCAGTGCTTGCTGCTCCTTCTTGATGGCAGTAACCAGGTCACTGTCCAAAAACGGTCAGCACCCAATGTTTGCCTTACTGAATTGCATGATTTAATCACCTTTCTTGCAATATCAGGTATTTTTTATGAAGCTAGAATCATTGTATTTTCTGAGAGTCTTGTCTGTGGGGTTTTTTATCACGTGTTTTTATTGGTGAAAATACCTAGTCCTTGGATTTGAGGAAAAAATGAAAAATGTGTCCTGAAAGCATCTTAGGAAGTCAGAGAACACAGAAGATCCCAAAATTAACTGTTTAATTTAAATATGATAATTGAGGTCCCAAATCAGATGTTCCCTATGCTTATTACAGTCTCAGTTTGGCACTGGGAAAAGCATCTTTTTCTCTTCTATCTTGTTATAGGGAAGAACCATGCAAAGAGCAGAAAGACATGCATTAATTCTCTCTGCACAGCAGAAACAATGAAATAGGCAGTATGCAAGCAGTAAAAATTACAGAATAAACAAACTTTACAGAGAAAGCAAAATGCTTATTCCTGCTCCTTTGGTGTTATAGTGGGCTAAATCATAGTTAGCATAAGCAACTAATTTTTGGGAAGGCTTTTGCTTTTTAGGGCAGTAGCCTTTAATTTTTTATTTTTAATGCCATAAAATTGAAGATTGGTAACCATAAGAATTCAAAAATCATGAGTCATTATTCATCAGTGGGTGAAGAGGAAATAGATGTAGTTGTCTGAGCTTGGATTTTCTCTCCTTGCTTTGACTGGATTTTTGTTACACAATAGATTTTTTCCATTTTAAGTAATAAGATCATCTTGTATATTATTAATTCAAGTATCATACAGCACTCTACCAATTTAGTGATATGCTGGGCTACTTCACAGTGCACTGAAATGTAGACACCTTTAAATTAAATGTGGCATCCTTTTAATGGTGTGTGAAAGCAGCACACAACTGTTCACAGCAGGAAATGAAAATGAACGCCGCCTTTCTGAACTGTGTTGTTATTGCCAAATGCTCTCACAAAGAGCAGTCCCACGGTTTTCATCTGCGTGCAGCACTAAGTGTCTAGTAGTCACTTTTATCTTTTTTGTGTAATAATATGGCAAGTGCCAGTCTTCTGGAACTGCAGGAAAACTTACTGTTTTCTCATTCATCTGAAACAGCTGAAGGTATGCAGCTGAGCAGAGTGTGGCTGAAGAGGAATTACTGCTGGAGGGGGTGTGCCCTGCACATCAGTAATAAGTTAGAGGCTAGAGAAGGCACTGAAGTAACTGATGTGTTTCTTACCAGAGGACTCTCTGTTGCACAATGATACCCAAGTGTTGTCCTATGCCAGCTGAGTGTTACTCATTGGCAGTGTTTGCAAATCCTTCCCATGGGCTCCATTCTAAAGTCAGCACCACTTCTCGTCTAAACAACTATTTGGAATAGTAGTACCTTGGCAATGTTATCCTTTGTGGCAGGACTTATGTCTGTTTCTCTTAAATGTCCTCAGGCTCACTTCTTTTTTTGTTGTTATTGTGTTGTGGGGTTTTTTTTTGGTTTTGTGGGGTTTTTTTTAAACATTCCCCTGGTTCTCTGGAAATACCAGCATCTAATTAAGCTCATCATAGATGCACTAGAATCAAACTTGCTTTCTGTCCATACCACTGTCAGCTGACCATTGTACATGACAATGTCCTTGTTTTCTATTTAGATTGCCTTTAAGTTGCAGAGCTCTCTGCATGTAGCAAAGTCTGCCATTTTGCTCTTTGAGTCATTGGACTGTCTGTCTAAGCAGACATTGCTGAATAGATAATTTTGGGGCATTGCTTTCATGAAACTTTTTAATCTTATGTTTTGATCATTTAAAATAAACCAATTCAGCTTTTACAAGTTTCCTGGAAGAATACCATATACGTTGTCTAATTGCTGCTATGAATGGCAGTAATGGTAGGGAGTCTAAAGACTCTCTAAAGGACACTCAACGCACTTGTTTTATCTGAGAGGCACTATGGTCTTCTGGTTGCTGTGTGACCTGTCTTCTCTTACCAGTTCTTGCTACAGGCGCAACATGAAACTCATTGAGCCCCATGACAGTCTTAACAAATCCAAAAGCCTTGGGGTCAGCTGTGTAGTGTGGGGCAGGCAATATGACATGTGTTTTCTGCGCCTATCTCATTCACTTACTGCCTGATAAGCAGCAGTGGAAGATGAAAAGGTCTTTACTGATAAACCCTCTATAGGAGCTCCACATCCCGTTATTATTCAGATGAATGGGGCTCCATTGATAGTTTTACTCTACATGGTTTGAAAGATAATTTGGTTTCAGTGACATCCTGAGTCACTTGAAAAGCAACATGCAGGTCTTCCCTGGCTGCTGCTGCTCAGCAGAGAGGTAGCCATTTCATCAGTCCATGCTGGACAGTGTAGCAGCATCCTTGTATGTCCTGACGCATGGTGCTGGCACTGGTATTGAGAGCAGGGAGGAGACAGGGTGAGTAGATCTCAGTATCATTGTTTATTTCTCAAAGTGGCTACTGTCTGATGCAGCTGTGTGATGGCACAGTTTCAGCCCAGATAAGGCCCATTGGCAGAGAACCCACACGTACAGGGCACACGTTGAGACAGAGCGTCGCCAACTAAATCATTGCTGGGAGAAGACAATAATTGTGTTGAAATAATGCCTTGCTTATGAAGGAATCCTCCAGCTGTGGGCATTTATTATGCCAACTGCTGTAAAGTATTAATTGAACAATGAATTTGGCTCACATATGCAGTGATGTTATTGCTCTGCATATGTATTTAAGTCAATCACAGGGGTCTTAGTAAAATAGTTTGGCCCAAACCACTCCAAACTGACCCCTCAATGTAAAGGTCAGTGACAAAATGCTGCACTTGTGTGCTGAAAGAAAATATAAATAAAAATGTTAAAGTATCTTAGGTTATTAAAAATTAAAAAAGCCACTGATGTTTCGTATGGTTTATTTTGTTCTTTTTGTATTTCTTTTCGTTTGGACAATGGGAAATCTGAAATCAGATTAACAGTTTTCTAATTTTTCTAATTTAGAGATGCTATGTTTGGGGATTTCATGTCCTGCAGAGTAGTGTCTTAATTTAAGTTTGCTCCATTGTCCTTGGAGGAATTGTTGATTTTGTTTTGGGGCAGTTGGCTTAATGTGGAAATAGATATTTTGGGTTTAGATTTTATAAATTCTTTTGCCAGTTTCAATCTTTTTGCTATGTTGACTATCTTTCACGTGTTGTCTCATTACAGCACTGAGTAAAGAGAAAGCAGAACTAAACTGAGCTAAGTAAAGACCAATAAGAACTAGACATTGACATCAATTTTTTAATTTAAAATATATCGAGTATGGTTGGCATGATCACTGTTCAGTTGTAGGTAGATACATTCTCTATATAAGGTGTATTTTTCATAAACTGAAACCTAAGTAGGCACCACTATTGTCAGCTTAATGCCAGTGTTGCTTTATATGCAGCAAAATGTAAGAACTACAGCTTCACCTTTCACCGGACTCCAGCACTGAATTATTTACAAAGGAGCTGACTAAAACTGAATGGGCTGCTCTAGCTTTGAGGCTTCCTCCAGAATTTAAGAGATAATATTTTCCAAGCTAAGCAACACCTCCAACTTCCATAAATTTTCATTTTTCTCATGTTGCAGGAAAGAAAAAATCCAAATTTCAGACTTTCAAGAACTTCTTTGCCAAGAAGAAAAGGAAAGAGCCTCCGCCTCCCAGGAGGGAGAGTAATTTAAAACCTAGCCAGTCCAGCAGCGATGTCAGCATCAATGTGCTCGACACTACTGCACTTCATTCACCAAAGGAGGTTGGGTAAGCTGGCGGGGAAGGAAAATAAATAAATAAAAGTGGACCTCTCACAGCAGGAGGATGAAAGCATGAGTTGGCCCCTTAGGAGCAACCTCTGTCCAAGTTTGTGCAAAACAAGCCCTAATGCTGATGAAGGAATTTCAGGAATTTCCTCTTTTTTTTTGCTAGTGCTTCAAAAGCCAGCCTGGAGAGGAGGGGGAGGGCAGCCAGGGGCAGGAGTGATCCAACCTCTTAGTCTAAAACTGCAGATAGTCCAGATTGTTTTCATTGGTTTTAGTGCTTGAAATTTGTCCTGGAAGGTCTGATCAGCAGCAACTTTACAAGAGGATGATGACTGAGTAGTGCTAGTATAGAGAATGCGTGTGAAGTTGGGTTGCTGTTTTTTAGCATAAGTGGTACCCTCCATCATGGCTGGGGTAAAGGAAAAGAAGTATTTGTGGTGTGTTATCAGTATGAGATTGCTGCTTTAATTTTCTTACATAGCCATTTAGGTATAAATAGCTGAAAGCCTCTAGTTTTGTGTCAGCTACCCCTGAAGGGCTGTGCATGTGAGTGAGGTTTGCAAGTCCCTAAGGTGTGTCCAGAGCAATTCTCAGATCCCTGAATGATGTTAGTTCAAAAACTTGTCCTTTTTTCAGTTAGTGAATACAAGCTATTAGCTTGCACTGCTAACACTTCTTCACTCATAACCTTAGACCATCAAGCTACGTGATGTTTCCATCGCATGTCTCTGAATCTGGGGTGGGATAACCCTCTGAACATGGCTATGTCTCTCGCCAGGGGTATCATGGATTGGTATCTGGCAACCTATAATTTGGCTGTTTTCCGCCCTCCCCGTACTCCCCTGTTAGCTGCTCAGCCAGGCCTCTCTTTGGATTACCCTAGGCCTCAGGTTGTGGAGCTGCAGGCTAACAAAGTGTGGCAAAACACTGGTGACGTCCTGTGGTTTGCAGTGTTTTGTTGAAGGGGACATTGGAGAGGTGTGATGCTGGCAGAGGGCATGAATAGGTGACTAGAGTGGGGCATGCTGAAATCGGCATTGCTGCCAAATGCTTTGTGTCATCAAATCGGGCATTTGGTGGAGCTGGACACTATGCTTCTTCTGGTGGAACAACTTATAGAAGTTACTTTCTCATGCATGTTTGTTTCTCCTTGCCCCACCTTTGCCCACTCTCTCTGTTGTGTTTATGCAACTGCATCATGGAAATGGTCTGGGAATGAAACAACAATCTCTTTATTTTGTTTGTTAGCATAACAGCAACAGAGTAAGTGACCACACAACCAGTCCCTGGGGTAAGGGGAATTAGAGTGACTCAGCTAACCCAGTCCAAAAAGCTTAGGAACAGCTGAGCTTACCCCATCAGCCCATAGCAGGGATCTGGCTTAAAATCAGCTGTCTGCTCCAGAGGCAGTGTGGGTGTGAACTCTTTCTCTTGCCCTTAACCAAGTACTTCAAGTCCAATTGCTGTTTACCTCAGCGCTATCCTCCAGTGATTATGAACTGTTTTGCAAGATCAGAGATCAGGAAGTGAGTAAAACCCTTCTGTTTTTTTTCCCTTAGAGATAGGATTAGGTAGACTATCCAAATAAATTAGAAGATATGTTTGTGCTACTTGAAAATCCTATCGTGTCCAGACCCTGCATGACATAAGCACACTTTGTAAGTACCTAGAGAGACTGAACAACATAATCCTTTGGAAAACATGATCCTGAAAGCCAGTGGAAATACAACTTGTGAAGAGCTTTATAGCAGGACCCTGAGCTTTGCAATTTCTGGCATGCAGAATATCAAAACCAATCCTAGAACAATGCTGCTGTTTGTTTGTTCTTGAGGCAGAAGCACTGGTTTTCTTTTTTTCTTTTCTTTTTTTTTTTTTAAACCATGTAGTCTTTTTAAAAATTAACTTTTCTGAATGCTAACCGGACACCAAACCCCCAGATGTGCCAAATGCTTCTTGTAACAGCCAAAGGGATGTGCCCAGGTGTCAAGGGGCTGCAGGGAATTGATGAAATTGGGCATCTATGCAGCATTATGTGCCACTGCCTCTTTATCTTCCAGAGGCATGAGTTTTAAATGGAAATGGAAAAATCTTTATGGCAAAATTAAAGCATGTGCCATGGACGACTTCTTGTCCATTATCATCAATCAGATAAAAGACCTTACACAGGGGAAAATCGGGTCCCAAATAGTCTTACTCCAGTTAAAAAGCTTTGAGCAGGAAAAACTGCTGGGACAATATGTAAAATTGTCCTGGTCTTTGTAATGAACACTCACTCCTTTGGCAGGCTGCAGTTGTTTTTCAGAGAGTGGCTGCCTGAAGGAGTTGTGTCACTTTTCTTCCCCCTACCTCAAAGACTAAGAAAAGGAGCAGAGTTGCAGCAATAAGAAGTGGAAGATAGCACAGGCCATGATGAGTTTAGGAGCGGCTTTATTGCTGGCTGTAGAGTCCCATCGTTTCCTCAGTCATGGCAGCTCTAGTGTTGCTACACATGAATGAATTGAGCATTTGTATGGGGAAATCAGTGTGGAGATACAGTGGCTAAAACATCTGGGGGTTTAGCTAACAGTGCATCTTTAGCTTCAGTGCAATTATAAATACACTGCCTAGAATTATACATGAATGTGTATTTGCACATAAGAGACTCATCTGTACTAAAGCTGCAGTTAATTCTATATTTAATCCAATGCTCTTTTTGTGACTGCCAGAAGAAAATACAGTCATTCTCTTGGACACACATATGATACATGTGCAGAGAGAGAAAGAAAGAAACAGATTTTGTACTGGCAGTCTCAAGCACAAGGAAACCTCAGCTCTTATTGCTAAAGAATTCCAAGTAAAGGAAGTGAGGAGATTCCCGGTTAAAAAGGTTAATATATCCTAATGCACATGCATTCTTTGCAGTAAATAAAATATGCCAATAATGAATATACATTACAGTAAATAAAAGTTGCATGACGCTGTCTTTCTGAATGCAGTAAAATTGTGGCTTGCCCATATAGAGTGTCTTTCATGCTGAAAAGGACACACAAAAAGATGGGATGGCTTCATTCACTCTAATGATGAAATAAGGCAAGTGCCTTACTTGTGTTTAGACCTGCTGTCCTATAAACTAACACTGACATTAACTATTAAATATAATGGGAGGAAGCATGAACTCTGACCTGTGCTGCGAGAGAAAGAGCTCAGAATGTCTTTGACACAACATAAACATAGAGCAAAATTATTTTTACTGTGAGACTCTGCATAACTATACTGATTGACTACACCTTTGGGGCAACAGGAGGGTTAGTCAAGCAGACAAAGGAGATGCTGTCTCTGGAGATGTAAAGAAGGCAGATGCAGGAGAAAGAAAAAAGAGTAATTTGTTTGGGTTGTTTTACATGGTGTACTTTATGAACATTTGCAGTCTTTCAGGGCTTTCTTCTAAATAAAGAAAGAATCTGAGGTTAGGCAAATAGCCTAAGAGGCAAATACGTCTTCTATTTGATTTCCTTGCAGAAGAGTGTTAGAGTTACTGGATTTTCCTTGTCAGAGTTCTGTTCCTAATCATCCCCTTTTACCCAGAGTCAAACTTTCAGAGGCAATGAGAATTGCCTGCATGGCAGATGAGCCAAAGAATCCTTATACCTTGTGGGTTACGAGGCTGGCAGCCAACAATATAAGAAGACAACTGGTTGTCTTCCAGTTAAATTCTAGAATGAAATCCTGGTAGAGGCCATCCTGTGGTCTTTTGGACAAAGTAGTGTACAGACAGTGCCTGCCTATGCTGGTGGTACTTGGTGAATAAAAGATTTGGAGCCTTCCTTGTCGTGCAAAATTTGCCCTGCACAACCTAATAGCCCAAACCCAATCCATCTCAGTTGATTACACCTTAGTTAACAGCTGTTGTGGGAGCTCATCAGTGTTGCACTGGGCTGAACAGCCGGTGAGCACAGAAACAAAGCAGGA